CATAAACCCTAAAACTTCGATTGCAATCTCAGATCCGGAAACTCGCCATTGTTTTCTCCGTAAGTTCCTCTTTCGATCGCTATCTCTTGTTCTTCTTTGTCTTCAATTGCTTGATTTGGGTTTCGTTAAGATCATTCTCACTCTTCGTAATTAGGGCCTGGGTTTAGATATCTTTGTTGCTTCTTTTGCACGCCTTCAAAGAATGCTTCGTATTGATTTCTATCCCTAAATTTGATGTGGAAATTGGAGTTAGGGTTTACGTAGTTTTTGCAGATCGATTCGATTTCATAAAGTTAAACCTCTAATCTTGAACAAAAATTGTTTCTTTTTCTTTTGTTTATCAGTTTGAAAGATCAAAAAGAACGATGAGGGTTGATTTTTCTGAGCCAGAGTGCAACAGCAACTGTTACCATCATCACACTTCAGGCATACGCAACACTCAAGAAACCGAACCAAGGTTTTTGTTCGGACCAGTTAGACATGATTCTGCTTCTGTTTGTTCGACCTCAACATCATCTCTAGCAACAACTCCTGCTGCCATTGCATCGGTTAGCTCCGGACCAGCCAATTTAAATTCTGGTGGATTTGGTACTTCCACACCGTCTGGATTCGGGGGAAGGCAAGGTGCTTTTGGTCCCATGTTTGCTACTCCCACATCGTCTGTATTCGGGACAGCGCAAGGTCCTGCTTCTAGTTTTAGTAATTCCTCATCGCCTTTCGGATCAACGCAAGCTTATGCTTTTGGTTCTGGTTTATTTAGTGCTCCCACACCATCTAGAGCGGTTAGTNNCGAACCTACNCAGTCTCTTGGACCAAACAGTTTCGGTTTTGGTGTAACTGCTGCTCCCACACCANCTNNANNNGGATCAGTGCAAGCTCCTGTCCAAACTACTGCAATCACCACTAACAGATCCTCAGAATCATTTCCACGTCCTAGTTCTTCACCTGCTCCTGCTGTTACATTGGTTAGTAGCGAACCAACGCAATCTCTTGGCAAAAGCATGTTCAGTTTTGGTTCATCTCCTGCTCCCACACCATCATTTTTGGTTAGTAGTGCATCTGCCACTTCCTCACCCTTAAGCTTCAGGCTACCGCAAGATTTTGGCAACACTCCTTCTGTGTCACCCTTTGGGAATGGTGTTGCTTATGCGAGACCTGATGTTGCTATCTTGCCGCCAGCATCGGAGCAATCAACAAGTACAATACTTTTTGGTACAACTCCAGTGAGCGTTCCTTCACTATTTGGGCCACCGCAAGAAACTGCTTCAAGCACCCCAAAAAATCCATTCAGCAATTCTTTTCCCGGATTTGGTGATAGTTATATGCCCGGAGCTTCTTTTAACGGTTTTGGATGTAATCCATCACCATTTTGGGGTGGTGGTTCACTTTTTGCTGCTCCTAAGACATCATCTCCTCAACCTTCTGGTTTCAATGCAGCTACTACTACTCTGTCGCCGAGTTCATTATCCCCCACAGTTACCGATATTCCCTCTGGTGGATGGTATTTTCCATCTCGTGAATGTAGTCACCCCTCTGGACAAGGTAGTAGGCATACTCGTTATGCACCTACACCCGATATTGGAACACCTGGTTTTGGAAGAAATGGCCATTTTATTTCTATATCTGCTTCTGATGCTTGTCGACATAAAAGCCATGAAGAGTTAAGGTGGGAAGATTACAAACAAGGAGATAAAGGTAACCAATTAAATTATTTGTCAAATCTTTACTACATTTTCTGTTTTAGACCTCTCTGTAATTGACTAATCTCGTGTTCAGGTGGGCCGTATCCTGCTGCTCATATCTCTCCCATAGGCTCGAGACCAAACGCCGTCTTTTCCCCATCAACCGTTTCACCGAGGTTATTTGCTTTGAACTCTGATCTTCACAAAAGCCCTGAAGAGTTAAGGTGGGAAGCTTACAAAAAGGGAGACAAAGGTAACTAACTATCTAACTCATTTGTCAAATCTTTACTACATTTTCTGTTTTAGATCTCTCTGTAATTTATTAATCTCATGTTCAGGTGGTTTGTTTTCTGCTCCTCATATCTCTCCAGTAGGCTCGAGACCAAACGCCGTTTTTACCCCGTCAACTGTTTCACCTTCGATATTTGCTTCTCCAAGCATATTTGATCACCCTCAGAGGACAACGCAAGGAAACATGCCTGGTTCTGGTACCCTGTTTCGGAGCTCTTCTTCAACATCATCCACTACAATTCCTTCTGCTCCCGTAAACCCGAGTGTTCAGAGACCCCATGAGACGACTGATGTCTCTTCCCCAGCATCCAGATGCACTGCCTGTGGAGCCACGAGTAGACCTTCTGCTTCTGCTTACTCTAATGGTGGTGCCACAACCCCTCCATCAGCTGCTACATCTCTTCCCGGAATGTTCTTTTCTAGCTTTGGTTCTTTTCCTATGATGTTTGGTACACCAACTCTTGCTGCTCAAGGTACGGCTCCAGCACTTCAAGCCTATCCAATGATGTTCGGTACAACTCCTGTTGCTCAAGGTGCAAATCTGTCCGTTCAAGCTACAACTTCAGCAATTCAAGCTTATCCTGTTCAGGGTTTCCTTCTCCTCCCGTTCGCCGCCATGAATCTGCAGTGATTTCTTCTCGCTCTGCACCAAACTCTTGTCTTTCAAATTTTTAGGACTAAGTCTCTGTTTTGCTTCATAGACAACAAATGTGTCAACATTATGATTCTGTCTTAGTATGAAATCATCTGATGATTTTTATTGTTTTACATTTTCTTTCGCTGAATTTGTACAACATTACTATTTGGAGATTGTTTTGAATGAATCAACAAAATAATGTATTTTCTTTCTACTAAAAACTCACATGCTCTGTTTTGCTACAGATACTAACTAGACAACTTTGCCAACGCTATGATTTTGTCTTAGTAACAATAGTTATCATTGATGATTCTTATGGTTTTGACACATTCAGTTTCTGAATTGGTATAACAAAGAGAAGAAAGAGGAAGTAATTATGATTGTTGTCAATAAGACAGAAGAAAACAGAAGAATTATACTAGAAAGAGAAGAGCTTTGTTTTGAATGAATCAACCAAAAACAAAGCTCTTCTCTTTCTAGTATAATTCCTCTGTTTTCTTCTGTCTTATTGACAACAATCATAATTACTTCCTCTTTCTACTCTTTGTTATCTCACCAAACCATGTCTCAACCTCATCGCATGCATACTTTCTGCAAATCCTATCGAAACCTTCACTCAAACGAAACAAACCGCGAAATCCTACTCTCTTCTTTCGTAAAGTAGTTCTGCATCAACGCAAGCTCTTTGTCGATTTTTACCGGGTTTTGGTGCATCTGCTGCTCCCACACCAACTTTTTTCGGATCACTGGAGTCTCTTGTGCAATCTACTTTTGGTTCTGGACTTCTGGTGCATCTGCCACTTCCACATCCTCAACATCATCTTTATTTCATAGTTCTGAACCCGCTCCTCCTGTTACATTGGATAGTTTTGCATCAATGCAAGCTCTTGACACAAACACTTTCAGTTTTGGTGCATCTGTTGCTCCCAGACGAACTATATTCAGGTCAAGGAAAGCTAGTGCATCTGCCACTGATACATCCTTTAGCTTCGGGCCAGCACAAGTTTCTGATTCTGATTCAAACATTCCAAAAACCCCGTCCAGCAGTTTTCTTCCCGGATTTGGTGTTGGTTACTTCCCTGGATCTTCCTTATCTACACCAGTTTGTGGTTCAGTTTCTGCTGCTCTCAAGACAACAGGCAGAAACTACTATGTCGCCGAGCTATTCTTCTTCATCGTCCGCTACATTTAGCAGCAATCCTGATTTTTTTGCATCTCATGAATGGAGTCGCTCCACTGAAAAGGTAGTAGGTATCCTTGTTATGAACTTACACCTGATTTACAAATGAAAGGCCACAGTATGATTTCTATATCTGCTTCTGCCTCTTATCGACATAAAAGCCATGAAGAATTGAGGTAGGAAGATTACAAACAAGGAGACAAAGG